TGTTACATGCCCAGTTGGGCGATGTACATAATAACCAAGGATCCGCAATGTGATGAAAAGGACTGAATGGACAATGCAGTGCAAGTGAAATCTCAACGAGCAGTGTACACTCTGATACATACAAAATGGTGCTTTACAGCGCCGTGGAAGACAGAGATGCAAGTCCTGACCTGACCGGGACTGACCTCTTTCACGTAGTACAAGATAGCGAAGCAGAAGGCTAGAATACTAATGACGAGCCCAATCAATGTCGCAATGCAGACTAAACATACATCATTTTCACCACAAGGTGTGAACGGGCCTGGCGCTATACACAGGAAGAGGCGCCAGGTCCAGCCATGCACAGACGAAGAGGAGGGGAGAGATGGGAAAGGCGTCAACACCAAGTCTCGTTACAAGTCCCAAATAATCCCTCGTTGTATGAAGTCCAATGTCGAGTCTGGATCCAACTGTCACCAAGCTCTCTCTCTCTCTCTCTCTGTCATAGTCTGCTGATGCAGTGAAGTCAGATATCGAGAGGGTGAGAGGGAGATGGTGGACTGAGAAGAGGAAGAAGAAGAACTCTCTCTCTCTCTCGTATGCCAGGTACTAACGTGTGAAGGTGGTGCTGTGCTGCAGGTACCTTGAAGACGAAGCTGGAGCGATGGCGCTGCAGGTAAGTCCCTCTGGCCTCTGCCCAATCCCTCTCCCTATGGTACTACTGTAGCTATGGCGCCCAGCGCTGAAGACTACAGCTAACGGTACTACTACACCTGCAGCGCTCATCCAGAGTGCTGCCGCCGAATCCTGAACACTACCTCCTGCCTCCTGAACTGCACGTGAAGTGCCTGGGAAGTACCTAGGAACTACCTACCGGCCTGCAGGGCGGGCCAGTCCTATATAGTGCTGGCCCGTCCGGGAGGCTGCTCTTGCCAATGCCTCAATGTGCGCTCAAATAAAGGTTGTCTTGAAAATAGGCCAGAAATGGCCTGAGCTAAAACCCTGGTCTGGTGCCTGAGTTTCGGGCAGGCCGAACTCATGAGGGCCCGGAAATGGTCCTCAGTTTCAGGCTGAAAACACTCAGGGCCGGAAAGGCTCTGATTTAGCCTGAAACGACACAGGGCCTGTAGGCCCTTGTTTTCAGTCTTTTGGCCTGAAAACGTCACGGACCTGGAAATGGCCCGTGCAGCCTGTTGCAGTCTCAGCATGTAACACACATACACACACACACACACACACACACAGAGAGAGAGAGAGA